TTACATTTACAGGTGATTGCCAATAAGAAAGTAAGCCGTGTTGGATTTGTTTTTTTTTCTCTTCCTTCTTCACCAAGTACCGGCGAACATATCCGGCGGAGACGGTAATTGGAGCTTTGTTTAGTGTCTGATGAAAAGTTGAGAAAATCGAATGGCGATGATCTTACTGTTGCTGCTTCGAAGAATGGGAATATCAAGAGAAGTTAGAGAGAGTGAGAGAGATAAACAATGTTTTAGGATTGAGAAAAAAATCAGAGATATCAGCTTTAAGAGAAACTGGTAACTGCCAACAACGGATGTATTCATCACTCAATTCAAGGATATTTCTTTTTCAAAAAGAGAAAATACCATTTTCATTTAATTCATATCTTCTTAAATATTTCCTATCATATCTTAATTTTTTTTTGACAGATGTATGATATATTTAATGCACCAAAAAAGTATTTGAAGAAGAGGAGCACGAACTCTCTTTTTTCTACATTAATTTCTTGACCAAATATGCACTTTTATAGTAACAGATCTTTTTATGTTGAATAAAATAAGATATGATTATTTGGGGACATCGTAATCATAATATAAAAGTTTATCAATGATAATAAAATAAGATTTTTTTTATTAAAATAGATAATTATAAAATTAATTTTATATGATTATCCTGGGATGTTTTATTTCGGTTTCCGCACACTTATGCTACACTTGCTTTGCTTTGCGTTTGTTGGTTGGTTGCTTGTTTGTGAACATGTGCATTGCAATTCCACGTAGTATTGTGAATTTTGGGACTCTTGAATGTTAATTTCTCACTTTTAAAAAAGATAACAAGAAACATAATGCCATTGGCACCTAAATTTCGGCGTAATCTATTAGAAGGTTTATATTTTTAAAAAAGAAGAAGAGATAAAGCAATTCGAAGCTTTAAGCTTTTAATTATAGAGGTTGATTAGGCTACTGTCTAGTTAAAATCCCAATTTAAATATGTGATTTTAGATTTTACAATTTTTTTTAATCAAAACGATTTCAAGATTTTTTACGATTTTTTATTTATTCCAATTTTAGATAAGATTCCAATTATAACTATCACGGCGGACTAACCTTTATTTTGTGTATGCACATTTAGGGTGAGAGTATGTACTATAGTAAATATTTCATTATTTACTATCATAGTCATTAGTGATTCCCTAATTAATCCTAATTGCATTATTTATATTGTCTTTTAGAATAAAATCTCTATATGTACACGCTGAATACAATTCCCTTACAAAAAAGTGGAAAAAAAATATTTGTGGCAATGATAATAAAAATAAGAATAATATAAACAGGGTTATTTTTTTATCATCTATAATAAAAAATATATCCAAATTCCTATTGATGATAGTTATAATTGGAATCTTATCTAAAATTGGAAGAAAAATAAAAAATCGTAAAAAATCATAAAAGTATTTGGAATTTTGATGAAATCGTTTTGATTAAAAAAAATTGTAAAATCATAAAATCACATATTTAAATTGGGATTTTAACTAACATAGGCCCAACCTAATCAACCTCTATAATTAAAAGCTTAAAGCTTAAACCCTGCCTCATTGCTTTATCTCTTCTTCTTTTTTAAAAATATAAACCTTATTAGCTCCAAACCCTCCAAACCTTAATAGACCAATTATTCCTGAAATTCAATTTTCATCAAGTGGAGGAGAATCGCACGTGATTTTTCAAGTTTTTTTGTGAAGCAAAAGTGGCCAACTTTGAATCAAATAGACATCGACAGAGGTGAGTTTTTGAACAAAATAAAATTTATAATTCTGCCACTGCATATGAATACAATAATAGACCACGCCGAAATTTAGGTGCCAATGGCCTTATGAGAAGGAGAAATTAACATTCAAGAGTCCCAAAATTCACGTGGAATTGCAATGCACATGTTCACAAACAAACAAACAAACCAACCAACCAACAAACGCAAAGCAAGTGTAGCATAAGAGTGCGGAAACCGAAATAAAACATCCCAGGATAATCATATAAAATTAATTTTATAATTATCTATTTTAATAAAAAAATCTTTTTTTATTATCATTGATAAACTTTTATATTATGATTACGATGTCCCCAAATAATCATATCTTATTTTATTCAACATAAAAAGATCTGTTACTATAAAAGTGCATATTTGGTCAAGAAATTAAAGTAGAAAAAAGAGAGTTGGTGCTCCTCTTCTTCGAATACTTTTTTGGTGCATTAAATATATCATACATCTGTCAAAAAAAATTTAAGATATGATAGGAAATATTTAAGAAGATATGAATTAAATGAAAATGGTATTTTCTCTTTTTGAAAAAGAAAATATACTGAATTGAGTGATGAGTACATCCGTTGTTGGCAGTTACCAGTTTCTCTCTCTCACTCATATCTCTGATTTTTTTCTCTAATCCTAAAACACTGTTTATCTCTCTCTCTCTCTCTCTCTCTAACTTCTCTTATATTCCCATTCTTCGAAGCAGCAACAGTAACATTATTGCCATTCGATTTTCTCAACTTTTCATCAGACACTAAACAAAGCTCCATTCCATTCTCCGCCGGAAATGTCGCCGCTGCTACGGTGAAGAGGAAGAGAAAAAAAAAACAAAGATGCAAGAGACGCTGCTTACACTCTGGGAACAATGGTTTAATGCAAAGAAAAACAAATCCGAAGAAGAAGATAAAGACAGCGAGATAGTAGTGGTCGCGCCTTCGCGTCGCCGGCCATCGAGGACGCGTCGCGTGTCGCTCGGCGCGGTGGAGAAACAGCTCCCAAACAGAGACATCTACATCGGAAGCTCGTTTGGGAACGAGCCTCACGGCGCCGGAAAATACCTATGGTCGGACGGTTGCATGTACGAGCGCGAGTTCGTTACCGGGCGGATGGACGGTTACGGAACATTCATTAGCGTCGACGGGAACACGTACCGTGGGTTGTGGGTTTTCGACTGTAAACACGGGTTCGACAAGAAAAGTTATGGTAATGGTGACGTGTATGAAGGGTCATGGAGTTGCAACGGTTTCTTAACATCCCCATCAACCTCAAAAGCGGGACTCCTCTGCAACAGTCCAAAACCAACATCATCACCATTCTCCGATTTACAACCATCCGTAAAACTTAGAAGCCTTCACATTATCAACAATGTCACAAGTGATATCCCCAGCTTCACCATCAAGCTCCCAAATGCAAATCCTGTGAAAACTCACACTCTTAGACCCATCAACAGACTCACTCTTCTTCATACTCAACTTCTCATTCACGAACTCTTTCCCCCAATTCCCAACAGTGGTGCTCCCATCACGCCAAGTGAAAACACCTTCCCCATTCGGAACCCCGTTCTCCCAATACCCTTCGTAACGGTTCCCGTTCTGCCACGTCAGCACCCCCTTCCCCGATATCGCACCACCCTTCCACTCCCCAACATACTCGTTCCCGTCCTTCCACATATACCTCCCCTCACCCTCCTGCAAGTTGCAACTCCATGATCCTTCATACACGTCACCATTGCCGTAACATTTCTTGCCGAACCCGTGTTTCCAGTCGAAAACCCACGACCCACGGTACGTGTTCCCGTCGACGCTAATGAATGTTCCGTAACCGTCCATCCGACCGTTAACGAACTCGCCTTCATAACGGTTGCCGTTCTGCCACGTCAGCACCCTTTTCCCCGATATCGCACCACCCTTCCACTCCCCAACATACTCGTTCCCGTTCTTCCACATATACCTCCCCTCACCCTCCTGCAAGTTGCAACTCCATGACCCTTCATACACGTCACCATTAACGTAACATTTCTTGCCGAACCCGTGTTTCCTGTCAGAAACCCACAACCCACGGTACGTGTTCCTGTCGACGCTAATGAATGTTCCATAACCGTCCATGGAAAAAGGGAAAGTGGAAAAAGGGAAAGGCTTTCGGACGCTAATGGACGGTTATGGAACATTCCTTAGCATCGACGGGAACACGTACCGTGGGTCGTGGGTTTCCGACAGGAAACACGAGTTCGGAAAGAAATGTTACGGTAGTGGTGACGTGTATGAAGGGTCATGGTGTTGCAACTTGCAGGAGGGTGAGGGGAGGTATATGTGGAAGAACGGGGACGAGTATGTTGGGGAGTGGAAGGGTGGTGCGATATCGGGGAAAGGGGTGCTGACGTGGCAGAACAGCAACCGTTATGAAGGAGAGTTCGTTAACGGTCGGATGGACGGTTACGGAACATTCATTAGCGTCGACGGGAACACGTACCGTGGGTCGTGGGTTTTCGACTGGAAACACGGGTTCGGCAAGAAATGTTACGGCAATGGTGACGTGTATGAAGGATCATGGAGTTGCAACTTGCAGGAGGGTGAGGGGAGGTATATGTGGAAGGACGGGAACGAATATGTTGGGGAGTGGAAGGGTGGTGCAATATCGGGGAAGGGGGTGCTGACGTGGCAGAACGGGAACCGTTACGAAGGGTATTGGGAGAACGGGGTTCCGAATGGGGAAGGTGTTTTCACTTGGCGTGATGGGAGCACCACTGTTGGGAATTGGGGGAAAGAGTTCGTGAATGAGAAGTTGAGTATGAATAGGAGTGAGTCTGTTGATGGGTCTAAGAGTGTGAGTTTTCACAGGATTTGCATTTGGGAGCTTGATGGTGAAGCTGGGGATATCACTTGTGACATTGTTGATAATGTGAAGGCTTCTAAGTTTTACAGGGATGGTTGTAAATCGGAGAATGGTGATGATGTTGGTTTTGGACTGTTGCAGAGGAGTCCCGCTTTTGATGTTGATGGGGATGTTAAGAATCCGTTGCAACTCCATGACCCTTCATACACGTCACCATTACCGTAACTTTTCTTGCCGAACCTGTGTTTACAGTCGAAAACCCACAACCCACGGTACGTGTTCCCGTCGACGCTAATGAATGTTCCGTAACCGTCCATCCGCCCGTTAACGAACTCGCGCTCGTACATGCAACCGTCCGACCATAGGTATTTTCCGGCGCCGTGAGGCTCGTTCCCAAACGAGCTTCCGATGTAGATGTCTCTGTTTGGGAGCTGTTTCTCCATCGCGCCGAGCGACACGCGCCGCGTCCGCGATGGCCGGCGACGCGAAGGCGCGACCACTACTATCTCGCTGTCTTTATCTTCTTCTTCGGATTTGTTTTTCTTTGCATTAAACCATTGTTCCCAGAGAGTAAGCAGCGTCTCTTGCATCTTTGTTTTTTTTTTCTCTTCCTCTTCACCGTAGCAGCGGCGACATTTCCGGCGGAGAATGGAATGGAGCTTTGTTTAGTGTCTGATGAAAAGTTGAGAAAATCGAATGGCAATAATGTTACTGTTGCTGCTTCGAAGAATGGGAATATAAGAGAAGTTAGAGAGAGAGTGAGAGAGATAAACAGTGTTTTGGGATTAGAGAAAAAAATCAGAGATATGAGTGAGAGAGAGAAACTGGTAACTGCCAACAACGGATGTATTCATCACTCAATTCAGTATATTTTCTTTTTCAAAAAGAGAAAATACCATTTTCATTTAATTCATATCTTCTTAAATATTTCCTATCATATCTTAAATTTTTTTTGACAGATGTATGATATATTTAATGCACCAAAAAAGTATTCGAAGAAGGAGCACCAACTCTCTTTTTTCTACTTTAATTTCTTGACCAAATATGCACTTTTATAGTAACAGATCTTTTTATGTTGAATAAAATAAGATATGATTATTTGGGGACATCGTAATCATAATATAAAAGTTTATCAATGATAATAAAAAAAGATTTTTTTTATTAAAATAGATAATTATAAAATTAATTTTATATGATTATCCTGGGATGTTTTATTTCGGTTTCCGCACACTTATGCTACACTTGCTTTGCGTTTGTTGGTTGGTTGGTTTGTTTGTTTGTGAACATGTGCATTGCAATTCCACGTGAATTTTGGGACTCTTGAATGTTAATTTCTCCTTCTCATAATGCCATTGGCACCTAAATTTCGGCGTGGTCTATTATTGTATTCATATGCAGTGGCGGAATTATAAATTTTATTTTGTGTATGCACATTTAGGGTGAGAGTTTGGGGACAGCACCTTCGGAAATTTTTTTTTTAAAAAAATTAAATATATTAAAAAAGTATAAACAAGAAAAAAAAAAGAAAACTTTAACTTGGCCACTTTTAAAAAAGTATAAACAAGAAAACATAAAAAAAAAAAATGATCAAAAACTCACCTCTGTCGATGTCTATTTGATTCAAAGTTGGCCACTTTTGCTTCACAAAAAAACTTGAAAAATCACGTGCGATTCTCCTCCACTTGATGAAAATTGAATTTCAGGAATAATTGGTCTATTAAGGTTTGGAGGGTTTGGAGCTAATAAGGTTTATATTTTTAAAAAAGAAGAAGAGATAAAGCAATGAGGCAGGGTTTAAGCTTTAAGCTTTTAATTATAGAGGTTGATTAGGTTGGGCCTATGTTAGTTAAAATCCCAATTAAAATATGTGATTTTATGATTTTACAAAAAAATTTAATCAAAACGATTTCATCAAAATTCCAAATACTTTTATGATTTTTTACGATTTTTTATTTTTCTTCCAATTTTAGATAAGATTCCAATTATAACTATCATGGTTGGACCTAACCTTCTTAAATTTTTTATTTTTTTTAACTTACCTAAATCACCCACCCCTTTACCTTTGTGTCTGCATGTGCAGACATAAGCAAAAGTGTCAGTCCGCCAATGTTGATATGGATCTTATGTTAGGACTTAGTAGAGATATTTGAACGTTGATTATCTGCTGAATCTTTGTGGTGGTTGATGATGATGTCGCCGTTAACATAACGGGGTGTGTACGAAAATACGTTTTTTTTTGTAGTCAAAATATTTTCAATAGGAAGGGAGTGTTAAGTGTTGGATATATTTTTTATTATAGATGATAAAAAAATAACCCTGTTTATATTATTCTTATTTTTATTATCATTGCCACAAATATTTTTTTTCCCCTTTTTTTGTAAGGGAATAGGTATTTCGTTGTACGGGAATTGTATTCAGCGTGTACATATAGAGATTTTATTCTAAAAGACAATATAAATAATGCAATTAGGATTAATTAGGGAATCACTAATGACTATGATAGTAAATAATGAAATATTTATTGATTTTATAGGATGATGAAATATTTCCTGATAAGCGTTATTTTCTTATATTTTTATTTTATTTATACCAATCAATATTTGAAATTCTTGTTACGTACACCTGTTTTAAAAGAAAATAGAAGATTTGAATTCAATTTAGAAAATCTTGTTTCAAAAAGATAAAAAAGTGCACAAAATATTTCTTTTTCTCTAATAATTTCATTCCATAGAATAAGAATTTAAATAGACAATGAGCGAGAGATATCAACAACAATCATGATTCCTGTAATCACCTATTACTAATAATCAAAATAACTACTCCATATCCCATTATGTATATATTTATCGTATATTAGACTAAGTAAAATTATAATAATAGGAAATTATAATAATTAATTCTAAACATTCTAATGGGCTCGATTAATTCTATTTTGGACAGGTGAATCCTAGAATCTATCTAAGTTTTATTTACTATTTATGGCTATTGGCATATATATATCTTTTCTTTCTTTCTTTCAATTTTTTTTTATAGGTATACAGACATTTTCTTCGTTGCCATGCAAGTCAAAACCCCAAAGCCCAACCGATCCAATTTGGCATAGATTGTCAAACTCGTTGTTAATATAACATTATTAATATTAATTTGAATTAGAATGAAGCAATTAAGGGAAAGAGATAGTTGGCATAACGTATAATCCCACCCATTCATATCGTGCTATGTTTGTAAAATGGTGTGGCGTGATAGGATGGTACTCAATGAAAGTAAAATGACCTTGAAGGTCGAGGCATGTGATAGGGAAAAACAAAATTTTTCGCTAGCGGAACACACATGCATATCAAGATACGTGCTTTAAGACGTATATTATACCTTGTTCCTGAAACTTCAGGATGATCAAGGTCAGGTCTGAAGGGTTCAAACCCTCTAACGTTGATCCACACCACCCGTGTCTAGATGCAAGAACTCCTTCTTGTAGAACCACCAATTGATCACCACAATGAGGCTTGCTATGCGCTCAATGTATGAAAGAGGAGGCTAGGCAAATGTGTTTAGAAGAGTGATGTTTTCAGAGAGAAAACCTCACAAGGTGGCGCATGGAAAGAGGAGAGAATGGCTAGGTATTTTTTCAAAAACCCTAAGGAGGAACACACTTATCTATTGCACAAGAGAGTGAGGGAATAAATAAGTGAAATCAGATTTTTCACTTCAAAATCCCATTAAAGTGGTGCACAACAAATGAGGAGATAAAGGAGTTGTTGCAATTCAAAAATCCCAACAACCTCTCCATTGAATCCTTATGAGATAAGGTCTTTATATAATCAAGATTCTGACCTGATGGTCATCACATGACCACTCATACTGTGCGCCCCATTCAGTCCCAAAAGGAGTCCAGATACGTTTGAGTAGTTGCATTCAAACTTGAATCAACTCCCTCAAATATTCTCCCAACAGACCGTATCTTTTGGAGCTGATTTTGATGACTAAATGACACTCACCAACAGCCAAAATTAGCGCCCCAATCTTCTTGGATCATGTCCAAAAGATCTCCTCTTGATACTAGTGAAACAACTTTTCATAGCCAATTCAAATTTGAATTCAAATATTTAAATTCGAATATTCAAACATTCAAATTCAAACTTTCAAACATTCAAATTCAAATTCAAATTCAAATTTCAAATTTCAAAATTCAAATGTCAAAATTCAAATTCAAAATTCAAATTTCAAAATTCCAATTTCAAATTTCAAATTTCAAATTCAAAATTCGAATTTCAAAATTCAAATTCAAAATTCAAAATTCAAATTCCAAATTTCAAAATTCAAAATTTAAATGTTTATAATTAACTTAACCAATTAAATTAATTAGTAGTGTCTTGGACTATCCAAGCCAATTACTGTGATCCATGCGCCCTCCACCCTCAAGGTGGACTTCCAAAATACTTCTTGGACTAATGACCATTATTAGGCCCAATACCTTTAATGCTAGTTCATCTAGACAATTAGGTGTTAGCGTGTGACCCATTAGGTCCAACATAGCCACTGACATAAATGGGTTTGGGCCCAATAAGCCCACAACCCATCTAATGACAACACAGAGCACTAACAATGCTTTGTTGCCCCAGAACTAGTTAGATTAATGACTTGATCATCCTATTACACATATTTGGTTGCTGTTTGTATTTTCCTTCGTCTCGGTTACCTTCCCATTAACCTAGGGTAAGGAAATGTATTAACCCTTGCGGTTTAGGGTAAGCTTTATTTGAAATAGGGAATCTTCAATTTACCGACTCTAAAGGCAGATCATCTCATGATCTCTTTTACTATGCATAGATTCCCGAGTCCCTGTAAATGTCATCCCGATTTCTCCGGTTTACAGATAACCTAATCTCTCACAGAGATTTGACGAATTCCTTCAGCTTATCACCCTAGCCCTGTGCTCTTTCAGGACAAGCCCAACAGTATACCTATGAGTCTCCATGTTTCAGGCAGACGAGATACAGTCAAAGCATGCCTTCTAGAAAACAGTCTAGGTAATAACTTCTGGTCTAAGGAAAGACATACCCAAATATAAAGAGACTACTCTAATGATACTCTCTGTGAGATTTCCTCATAGAGTCTCTTTGTGGGTCTGTTCAGTGCGAGCTATACCCTTATAGGTCCACCCACGACTTTAGCTAAGACATCTCCATATCTGTAGCACATAAGGTCTTTACCTTGTATCCGTATAC